GAACCACTGCGGAAGACAGAGTAGAGACTCTGTCCCTCTGTTTCCCACTTGTTGGACCCCCATGAGTTTTTCCTCCTGTCCTGCAAGATCACCTCCAAGGTCACATGCAACTTTCACCACCTCCTCCCAACAGCTGCCTTGGATCCGTCTTCAGCTGAATCCTGGGCATGGCCCCTCAACCAGGCCCTGGCTCTTGACTTATGCCTGACCCCTTCCCAGCAGCCAGATTTAAACAGCAGCCAACACAGAAATTGAGCCCCAGGTCCCTGTGAATGTCTCTGCAGCCACCTGCTCATCTTTCAGTTCCTTTAGCTCCCACAGCCCACTTCACACACACACACACACACACACACACACACACACACACACACACTCATACACACATACATACATACCACATTCACACACACACATACACTTCCACACACACAAACTCACACATACACACATATTCATATACATACACATTCACACACATGCACACACTCTCCCTCTGCCATTCCACATTTCCTCTCTCTCCCACCCTTGATCAAATTCCTAAGCCCTGTCCATCATCACTTCCCAACTGCACCCACAGTTTCTCAGAGCTTCTCGTATTTTCCTTCATTGCTCTTAAGAGAAGCAGAAGCCCTAGACAGTTGGGCATCCACTTACGTGCAGATTGTTTTCAGGAAATAATGTACCTGTGTTTTCTCAAAAACAGTTCCCTTTCCGCAGCTTCATTTGTTATAAGAACACTGTAAAATATACACAATATAAAAAAAAATACATGCTCATTGATTGTGCTAGCAGGAACTTCTGCTCAACGATAGGCTATTAGTAGTTAAGTTTTGGGGGAGTTAAAGTTTATGTGTGAATTTTAACTGTGGGGGTCGGCATCCTGACCCCTTCATTGTTCAAGGATGAACTGTATCTACAGCATTTCTGCCTTGCCAGCCCAGTTAGTTTTTATGGGAGTGAGTGTCCTCCACTGGAATTGGCTTTGGTGCGAGATCAGGAACTGTTTTTGTTCACCACGATGTCTCCAGCACAACAGAATACATGCTCAGTACAATCTTGATGAATGAATGAATGAATGAATGAATGCATGCATGAATGAATGGATGGATGGATCCCAGGATTCTCCAAGTAGAGCTCTTACTCCCAGAGCTTATTGCTGACTCAGTGGAGATGAGCACATTGCATCTGGCAGTGTGTGAAGGCCTCCCAGGGAGGTGCGCATCCCCATGAAAACAGGGAGCCTCTTCTTTGCCTTTCTTTCCCAAAGCTCCCTCCTCTCCCTCACAAGTGTTTATTCATTTCCTTTCTCCTCTCCCAGCTATTTACAAAGTGGGCATTTGGAGGAAATGCCCTTTATGGGGAAATTGGTTAAGGTTTCTTCCATGGTACCCAGAACCTAACTAGCTGTATGTCCACAGGGAGTCCTATGTAATAAAAGTCTAATATGCTAAGTGTCGGGTTGGTCATCCGTTCAACTAATCAAAGCATAATATGCTAATGATATGCTAAGGCCACTCAACCAATCACTATGATATGCACTGGCCACTGCTTGACCAATAGGTTAGCTGCTGCTGGAGTCTGGTGGATTGGGACTGAGTGAGATGGACGGACATGCCCTGGAGCCCTCTCACAGTCCCTCCCCAGCTAGCCAACCTCCCTGGCCCCAATCATGCACTGGTGAGGTCCCTCAGCCTTACCTGTGCCCTCTTGCTATCTGGGACCCTTGAGGGATGTCAGAAAGCCGGTTTCAGCCCAATCCTGCAGAACAGGCCAAGCTACCCCACTGGTGCATGATCAGGGCTGGGATGTAAACAAATTCATGCACCAGGCCTCTAGTAAGAATATAAATACATATCATTTTTCATCTCAAATATTTATGCAAATGTTTCCAATTAACATTGAAAAATACCTTGTGAGTGGCCTCAGTGACAATTGCAATTGTTAGGAGGTTCCTTTGCCAAGGCTTATCGATTGTGTCCATGAGTTACCCATATGGAGGTTAGCAGGGTGCAGGGGCACAGGCACACAATGAACGTTCGCTGCTTTTTCTTGTTCATCCCACACTTCTGGTCTAGAGAATTACCAACTCCCAGTCCGTGAGGATGGGGAGGAGGAGTGCAACCCTGTGGTGGTCAGGGATGCCCCTGCAGGAGGAGGAGGAGCTAGTCATGCAAAGATCTGAAGGACATAGTTCTAGGCAGAAAGAGTAGCAGGAATGAGGGCCCTGGGGTGGACACAAGCTTACCAGTGTGTCTGAGCAAAGTAAGAAAGCAGCGTGGCTGGATAACAGGAGTAGGGGCCAGGCAGGGCGATCAGGTGGGGAGTTTAGGTTTTGCTCTAAGCAATTGAAGGTTTTAAAACAAGAGGTCAACTGCTGTTATATATGTGCATAAAATATCATCCTGGCTGGTGTCTGGAGCATGGATTATCAGGGGAAGGATGCAGTAATGTATGTAGGAGAGAAGAGTCCAAGTAACCATGGACAAGTCATTTGATCCTTCATCTGTAAAATGGAGCTAAGAAAACCTACCTCTGAGGCTCCTGAGGATTAATGGGTATAATGACTTCTGTGCACCCAACGCAATAGGTTCCCCATTCAATGGAATCCACTGTTATCTCCTCTTTCTAGGTAATACCTCAGGACTTCTATCACGTGTTTAATTCTTTGCTTTGTAACATAAACTTTGATGGTTTTGGTTATTAAAATTCTGAGACATTCATTGATTGCATGAGGTGTCCAGAGGCAGCCCCTGCCAATTGTAAGAAAACACCATACCAGAAGGAATCACGTTACAACATATTCAGGGTTTTCCTGTGCTGGGAGTTTATGTCCTCAAAGCATGGACTGCTGCTCTTAAGTCAGCAGGCCGGAGGTACAAAGTATAATGTGCAAATAGAAAATGAACTCATGTCAAAGATTTTGTTCAACTGATTAACGAGGGAACCAGACAAATGTGCAAACCAGGTCAAAGAACATCGAGGACCTCGTATCTGTAGGCAGTTAATAAAGGAACTTTAGGATAGAGTTGCAGGGCTAAGTACAAATTTGGTTAAAGTCTGACAAGCTAATCCTATCTAATAAAAGAGTAATATGCAAATTGACCATCATTCCAACACACAAGATGGCTGCCCCCATGTGGACACAACATGGCCAACAGGAGAGGGCAATTGGGAGGGACCAGGACTTCAGGGGAGGGCAGTTAGGGATGACCAGGCTGGCAGAGGAAGGAAGTTGGAGGTAACTGGGTCTGCAGGGAAGGGCAGTTGTGGGGGATCTAGGCCTGCAGGGAGGGCAGTTAGGGGTGACCAGGCTGGCAGGGGAGCAGTTAGGCATCAATCTGGCTGGCAGGGGAGTGGTTAGGGGGTTATCAGGCTGGCAGGCAGAAGTGGTTAGGGGAAATCAGGAAGGCAGGCAGGTGAGCAGTTGGGAGCCAACAGTCCTGGATTGTGAGAGGGATGTCCCAGATTGGAGAGGGTGCAGGCTGGGCTGAGGGATAACACCCCCCCCCCATGCATGAATTTCATGCACCGGGCCTCCAGTAAACCATAATCTTCCAAGATATTTTTTCCTACCGAACACAAAGTATTTGCCTATTTCACTGGAAAAAATTGTAAAGTAGCATGTAACTTCACTTGTCTTGACCTCTAACCTATCCTCTTGCTACAGTTTGAAAGCTATGTTCCCTCTAAATGCTTTGCCTCTGCTGGAGTCTCCAAGCAGAGCCCCACACTCCCCTGAAACCTGCTCACAAGACGGCACATTTGAGGGACAGGAGCCGAGTGTGGGGACACGCCACGCCTAAGGCCCGTCTTCTGGACATCGTGGCGGCCATTGTCACTGAAGGCCACCTAGAGGGAGAGCCAAGTGTCACAGAGAGCGTCCTGCTTCCCTCCTCTCCACAGAAATAAGAGCTGTCATCCGCTGTCATGTGTTGCTTTCCCTCCAAAGACCTGACTTTGGGGCATCACATGACTCACCCTTATCCACCCATCAACTCACCAGGTAGCCAGCGAGCCCTTACTGTGCACTGGGACCTATACATCCTGATTCTCCTGTAATAAACATGCATTAATATCATATAAGGAATGATTATACTAGTATTAACCCCACAGAAACAAACTACCTTTATTTAATTATAGCGCAAAGTTCTTAGGAGAAGGGAGCTTAGCCACTGCTGCTGTGGCAACAAGATGATTTTTTTTTTATTAGGAGTATGTAGCTTATGGAAAGAATAGGTCTCTTAGAATTAGGGAAACAGACTGGATTTGACCCTGACTGAGTCACCATTGACAAGTCACTAACCTGCTGAGTCCTAGTTTCATCATTCATGAATTAATGAACTTTTTTTTTAAGCGTCTCCCTATGCACCCGGGTCCAAGTTTGACTCTGGTGACAAGAGCAGAAATAAGTGAGATATGGTCCCAGCAGACATGGGACTTCCAGTCCAATCAATGAGAAAAATAACAAGAACCGGACAAAGAACGATGTAATAATTATGACAGTAACAGGCAAGCTTTACTGAGCACTTCCTAAGCACTTGCACTTCAATGAGCTTTTTATACATCAACCCATTTAGTTCTCACAAGAACACCATAGGGTAGGCTAGTTACTGCTATTCCCATTCTGAGACAAGGAAACTGAGGCCCAAAGAGAGAAGCCAATTTGCTCAAGGACACACAGCCAGGAAGTCACTCAGCTATGTAACTACCAGGGTCATAGTCATCACAAATTAAGTCAGAGCCATGAGGGCATATTAGGGAGACTGGACCTGGTCTCAGGGTGCAGTCCCTGAGGATGTGACCTGTCACCTGAGACCCCAAGAATGAGTAGGAATTAATCAGGCAAAGAGCAGGGACCAGAGTCTCTGGGGACGAGGGAAGGAGATAAAATAGCAATTGAGCTAATAAACTAGCTCCAACATACCTGACTGAGCGGTATTGGTGCAGGGGTCAATGGCAGTGGTAATAACAATGAATTCTTTCTCCCTTCCCACCCCCAGGCGCTCCTGGCCAGGGCACTTTATAACAATGCCCCGGACTGCTTTGATGAGCTGGCTTTCTGCAAAGGAGACATTCTGACTATTCTGGAACAGCATGTCCCGGAGAGCGAGGGCTGGTGGCGGTGTTTGCTCCATGGGAGGCAAGGCCTGGCCCCTGCCAACCGCCTCCAAATCCTCTCGGAGGCCCCGGCAGATGGTCCCTGCCCCCCTTTCCTGATACCCCTGGAGGAAGGTCTCGCCAGCTCCAAGGAGGCTTACCAGGTGACCAACCCGCTGAGGGCCCCACCTCCAGGCCCCGTATACGAGTCGATGAAGAGCTGGGTGGTGGGGCCCCCGCCACACACAGCCCAAGTCTACGAATTCCCTGACCCACCCGCCAGCGCCAGAATCATCTGTGAAAAGGTGCCAAGCTTCCCGAAACAGGTGAGCATATCTCCAAATGGAAGAGGTAGGGCTAGTGTGTGACACCCAGGGCGGGACCACCCTTCAATCGTGGGTGCCCATCAAAGCAAGTGGGCCAAGGGGACCCAGACCATTGGTGTGAAGAGGTGAACTTGGGTTTGACCTTCCCACCCTGTGATGCCCCAGTTCTTCAGGCGCCCCCACCCAGTGGGAATCTGAACATTTAGTCCAGCTGTGTGCAGAGGGCGGTGGGCATGCGTGGTGGCCTTTTTTATCGGGGTGGGAACGCTAGGATGGACAGTGATAAATGGAGGGGTTGGATTTCCATGGGTTCGAAGGCAGGACATTACTCGTCAGTTTTAAAACATATATTCCCTTCAACCCAGAAACGTTACTTCCAGAATTGCTACAGAAATCCACAGGAAGGCAAAGATATATCCTGATGGGGAGGCCATGCCACTGTGGCATTATTTGTCATCAGGAAAAATCGAAGCTGCCTAAATGTCTGTTAACAGGGAATAGATCATAAATGCGGGCATACTCCTGCAACAAGCTAGCATGCAGCTGTGAACAAAAGAGGAAGTAGTTTGTCCTGGCCAGTTGCTCAGTGGTTAGATCAGCAGCCTGCCTACCGAAGGGTCACAGGTTCCATTCCCAGTCCAGGGTACGTGCCTGGGTTGCAGCATTGATCCTGGGCCCTGGTTGGGGTGTGGGGAAGGCAGCCAATCAATGTCTCTCTTTCTCGTTCCCCCTCTCTTCCTCCTACTCTCTCTAAAAATCAATGGGAAAATACCTTTGGGTGAGGATTAACAACAACAAAAAGATGAAGTAGTTCTCTGAGGTATTTATATAGGGGAATGAAGAACCATTTAGGTAAAAACCAAGCAAACGGAAACTAAAAATTCTGTGTGTGTGTGTGTGTGTGCGTGCGTGCTCACACATTGAAAAAAATGCACGCCACCAGTGGTTACCCTTAGGAAGTGGGATTGGCCGAGAAGAAAGTGAAAGAAAGCCTTAGCAGGGACCTTTATTTTTTCACTCCTATGTCCCCAGCCCAGGATGGTGGCTGGCATGGGGGGACCTGTACATATTTCACCAACTGAGAGGTTAAGAAGTCGATGCATGTTACAGCATGGAGCGTTCATTACTCCTGAAATTCTTTTTAAACGGAAGAGTTTTTTTTAAGACAAAAAGAAGCACCCAGTAAATGCAGAATGAAAAAAAAAAAAAAAAAAACGTTAAAGAAGGGAAGGAATGAAAACAAAAAAGGAGAAAGACAATAATGCGCTGTTTTCCCGAGCCCACACCTTCATGAGGTGCTGAGAACGCAGGACAGATTTGCAAAGTCTGCAGCCACTGCGGTGTTCCCTACCTCCCAGCCTTCGCTTTCCGCTCCAGGGACAGTCCGCCCAGCACAGCTTGGGCAGAGGTGGTGACAAGGCCTGTGTCTGGGGACGTCCACTCCCCATGGATGTGCTGGACTGAATCAGGCAAAGAGCAGGAACCAGGCCCAGGAAGGTCATGCTTGCGCCACCTGCCTGCCCACACCAGCTCCCAACGCCATCTGCACACAGGCAGGTGCTGGTTCCCTGAAAGGCTCTGAATGCTTCAGATGTTCTAGCTCCCTGGGCTGCCACGCAGAGAAGCAGACCGCTGTCCCACAGAACAGCCGTCCCTCTGGCACCGGCTGCAAACCCCCGGGGAGCTTGCTGGACCCTGCAGCAGCCTCTGGGATGGACCCACGTCCTCTTCCTGGAACAGCCTGTGCTGAAGTGAATTTTTCTTTTCAAAGAAAAGTGGGGGATGCCCACAGGTCACCAGGAGTCCCTAATACCCTACACGCTGCCCCGTGAACGTTTGCTGATGGTTGGAACAACACAAGGCTTCCCTTCTCGGCCTTGCACTTCCAGCCTGACGCCTGGAGGAACAGGAGGGTGGGTGTCTATCTCCACAGGAGAGGGCCAGAGCACGTGCCCTGAGCTGTGTCCTTGAGCGCGGAGTGTCCGTGGTGAGAGCCCGGGCCCATGTGGGTGGCAGAAATCAGGCAGAAACCACAGCTGCCGACGGGGAATTCAGAAACCAGGGGCTCCTCGCCAGGCCTCATGAGGCGGACCCTGTAAACCCCCGGGGGACTTTTCTACCTTTCATTCCCTCTGAGGTTCCCTCCGTAGCCGCCCGGCCACCACAGCCACCCTCTGGTTATTGCCTCTGTGCTGGGGGGTCTCGGGGAGCCCCTGGGAGCTCGGGATCCGGAGTCCCGGTTGGCCTGCCCGCCTGGGCCATTACAGACAGCACTCCGCCCCTCCCCACAACTCTCTCTGCCTCCGTCACGGAAGCCAGGGGCCTACCATTTCTAAGGCACCTACAGTCGCACTGTTTGGTGATTCTAAGTAATCTTGCTGCTGCTTCTACACAAGAAGGAAGGAACAGAAGACAGGGGACAGATAACCAGTGAGGCGTCCTCTCACACGACACATCCCACTTATGTAATCGGCGGTTAGCCCTGCACCGGAGGCCGCCCAGAAGCACACTCTCAGCAGGAGCTATCATTGCTAGAACAAGGCAGCTCACAAGGCCAGGAGACCCACCTCACAGGCTCCTCTTACCCCTGATCAACCACCTCCCAATGAAGGCCGGCAAGATGGTGGAGACATGTCCCTTTTTTCACGTCGGCTCTGAACTGCGTGTCAACATCAGGCGTCTCGCTGGCTGGGAGGGACCTCGTGGACCCGGAGGTTAGAAGAGCCCTTCGTTTCACAAATGAGGAAACTGACTCCCACGGAGGGAAAGGGCGGGTGGGCACTGAGATTGGAGCGCCTTGTTGGTCTGCGTGTCTGTCTGCGTCCCTACTGCCCGCACCCAGGACGAGACCCTGCACACCCTCGGCTTGTGTCTGCCTGACTCTGTAGCAACACTGCCTACTCTTCGCATTCGTTTTTTTTAATTGAAGTTTAACCTACAAATCCTAAAGGTACAGCTCAGTTACTAGAATTCAGATCAGGAAACAGAACAAAACTAAAAGCAAAACAAAAATAAATCTCAAGCTGTGCCAGAGAGCAGAGCCCCTCACGCCTTCTCCTGGTCACTTCCCCCTGGGAAACCGCTTTGTTTTACTTTTTATTCCAACTTCCTTACCACAGCACACGGGACTGGCTTGTTAGAATCGCCAGAGGAAGAACATGTCCAATTTGGGTTTAAATTCAGAGAACAGGATTTCGTGTTTCAAGTGAAAGGGTCAGATCCCCTGAGGAAATCGCTCTCCAACTCACTAGTTCCTGGAGCCCCCTCCTAAGCCTTTTGAAACCATGCTTCTCAGATTCGCTCCTTAACTGATCGCCATCTCGAACCACGTGTTCCACAAAACACTGGGCGTTGCTGAGCTGGCGCCTTCCTGCCCGAAGGCCCCTCTGCTCCCACAGGTGATGCCGCAGCTCCTGTGCCACAGTCAGAGGCATAAACACAGGGGCTGGGGTCCCAGGGGAGTAGCCATCAGCAGAACCACCCTGGACAGCTGGGGGGAGGGGGGAGCGTAGTGTGGTGGAGTACTCGGGGTGACCTTTCCTTTCCCTGGTTCCTTTTCTCCCCAAGGCCGTCATCCCGGTTCCAAGACCCGCCCAGGCCTCGTTGCTCGCTCTGTACGATGTGCCCGCCCAGAGCCGCGGCCCCTCGGCCTTGAAGGTGAGCCTTGACCCCGGCCCTGCTCCCCAGGGGCCTCTCAGTGTCACGGGGATGACCTCGGAGTGTCTGCCTGCTCCTGGCCCCAAAGGGCTTCGCACTGCTCAGAATCCAGCTTTTGCCAGGGAGCCAGACCTGCTCAGAACTTTATGACTGAATGCTGAACATCTTTAAATCATCTGCTTCTCATTTGTAATAGACACTTAGGTCCATGCACACAGACTTATATGTGCATATACATATATGCATTTTAAGAATAATATTTTGAAAAATATTTGGGTTGGAGCAAAAGTAGATTTACAGTTGTGAGTACACAAAAGAGTTTGTCCTTACATTATTATTTATTTTATTTTATTATTTTATTATTTTCCACTAGTGCTCTGGCACATGAAATTTGTGCACAGAGGAGGGGGAGGGGTGTCCTTCAGCTTGGCCTGCACCCTCTCCAATCTGGGACTCTTCTAAGGATATCCTACTGCTAGTTTACAGGAATTGGGCCTAAACCTTCGGTTGGATATCCCTCTCGCAATCCAGGACTTCTGCCTCCTAACTGCTCACCTGCCTGCCTGCCTGATTGCCCCTAACCACTCTTCCTGCCAGCCTGCTTGCCCCCAAATGCCCCCCATGCTAGTGTGCTCATCTCCACCTTCCCTCCCCTCTGGCCTGCTTGCCCCCAACTGCCCCCCTGATGGCCTGCTCACACCAAACTGCCTCCCCTGCTGTGCTGATAACCCCCAACTGACCCCTACTGATGGCCTGCTTGCCCCCAACTGGCCCCCTTGCTGGTATGCTCACCCCCAACTGCTCCCTCCCCCCCACTCTCCTCCCCCCCGCTGGCCTAATCCCACAACTGCTGTCCCATTCTGGCCTGATTACCCACAACTTCCCTTCCCTCTTGGCCTCTAAGCACCTCTACCTTGGCCCCGCCTCCAAGCTTTGTCCAGAAAAACATCCAAAAGGTCTCCCAGTCTCATTAGCATATTACCCTTGCTTTAGTATAGGTAGAGGCCTGGTACACAGGTAGGAGCTGGCTGGTTTTTCCTGAAGGGTGTTCCGGATCAGGGTGGGGGTTCCCTTGGGGCATGGGACAACCAGGGCAAGGGGCCTGTGGTGGTTTGCAGATTGGCCATGCCCCCATGGGGTGAGGGTCCCTGCTTGGGGGACCTCGCCAGCCTGGGTGAGGGGCTGAGGAATGTTTTCAAGCTGGCCACACCCCATTCAGGGTGGGGGTTCCTGCTGTAGTGCCTGGCCAGCCTGGGTGAGGGGCCGAGGGCCATTTTTAGGCTGGCCACACCCCCCAGCGACCCAGGCTCCCAGCCTCTCTTTCAGCCACAGCCAGGGTGGGTGGGTAACTTGGCTTCCTCTGTCACCAGTGGCAACCTAAACCTCCTGCTCACTCCAGCTCTATGGCCACAGCCTTCTTTGTTGGGTTAATTTGCATATTCACTCCTAATTGGCTGGTGGGTATATCAGAGTGATGGTCAATTTGCATGTTTCTCTTTAATTAGTGTAAATATGAACAACTGTATCCCAACATTTTTTAAAAAATATATTTTGTTTTTTTACAGAGAGGAAGGGAGAGGGATAGAGAGTTAGAAACATTGATGAGAGAGAAACATCCATCAGCTGCTTCCTGCACACCTCCCACTGGGGATGTGCCCTCAACCAAGGTACATGCCCTTGACTGGAATCAAACCAGGGACTCCTCAGTCCACAGGCTGATGCTTTATCCACTAAGCCAAACCTGTCAAGACTGTATGCCAACATTTTTTTAAAATATGTTTTTGTTGGTTTCTGAGAGAGGAAGAGAGAGAGAGGAAAAAAAAAAAAAAAAAAATCAGTGATGAGAAAAAAAAAAAAAATCCACTGGCTGCCTCCTGCAAACCCCACACTGGGGATTGAGCCCACAACCTGGGCATATGCCCTGACCAGGAATCTGTGACCAGGTTCATAGGTCGATGCTCAACCACTGAGCTATACTGGCCAGGATGTAATCCTACTTTTGCCCCACTTTGCACATCAGAGTATTAAAGTCATCATTGGTTATATTAGCATTGATTACCTCTGGGAATAAAATTTTAGATGCTTTTTAAAACTTATTTGTTTGTAACTGGTACGTCAAATTTGTAAGGCATGCTTCTTGTAATCAGAGGACAGTTCACTCACTTCTCAGCCCATCCGGGGCCCCTTTGGCTACAGCACGTGGCCCCAGCATGGAGCTCCATGGCCCACGCCCCACGTCCTCAGCGGTTTGTGTTTGCATTTGGGAGAAGCACTGGCGTGGGAGAGCAGTGATGGCTTAGCCTTCAAGAAGGAAAAGCCCTGAAGGCTAAGTCGTGGTCCTGCTTTGTGATCTCTTCCAGGAGCCGGGGAAGCAGCAGTTATATGACATCCCCGCCAGCCCCAGGAAGGCTGACTGCGGTCCCCCAGCCAGCCAGCCCAGCGTAAGTATGACCGGTGCTGACACCTGGTGTCTCTGACCTGCTGAGCCTCCGGGACGGGTCAGCGTGGGCAAAATGGGCAAGGCCAGCTCCTCGTGGCAGACCTCATTTCTCGGAGCCCCTCGCCGCAGTGGTCCGCGAGCAGGGCGGCTGTGTGGCTGAGACAAGTCCTCTCGCCTCTGCAGCCTCCGTTTCCATTACAGACTCCTGGCGAGCATGGGGATCCCTAGGAGGGACCCAGCGCAGTGCTGGGCAGAGGAAGCGCTCAGCCGACCTTAGTTAAATGCCTCTTGCTATCGTAGGCCTCAGAGGCATGCTGGGTTTAAGTGGGTTTTTATTTGAATGTCAGGGAAACGCCTTAACCTGAGATCTGTGTCATCCCTGTTGAGCCTGGATCCTGTCACATGTCTGCAATCGATATGTGCACACCCAAAGTGATCAGGGAAGGCCTTCCAGGAGGGCTGGCATCTGAGCAGTGTCATGAGGGATGCACAGATGGAAAAGAAAGGGGTGAGAGACATTTAGAGCAGGGGCACAGTTTGGGCAAAAGTAAATATCTCAGTATAAAGTGACCATCCTGAGTCCAGGGAAGGGTAAACAGCTGGACTTACAGGGAGGTGGGGGCTGGAGGGGGAGTGTGATGGCAGCGAGAAGAGAGGCTCTAAGGTAAGGTGACAGACATCCCACTTTTGGTGGGACAGTCCTGCCTTTTGGTGGGACAGTCCCGCCAAAAGTGAGACATCTGGTCACCTTACTCTAAGGGGAGTGGAGCAAGGCTGTGAGGGGTCTGGAGAGACTATGCAGGGGAGGCGGGGAGCCGCTGCAGAAGCTTGAGCAGGAATGGCCATCAGCACAGCCAGGCAGCCAGGGCCTCGGTGGCCACAGGTGTAAAGTGAGGGCTACGCCTCTTTTCGCTGCTGCTAACCTGGTGACTTTGCGGTTCTCCACAGAGGCAGAGTGCTCCTGTGACAGCAACAGTTCCCTCGAGGACAGCCTGCTACAAAACACTGCCAAATCCCCAGAAACCCGAGTGGATTTATGACATTCCAGCGTCTCCAGCAAAAGCTGGTGTGAGAAACGTCTGTGCTGCCAGCGTTGTGGAAGAATCGGGGTTGCTCCCCAGATCCATGTCCAGCTTCCACAGTCCTCCGAGTAGCAGAGCGCGGCCCCTCGCTCCACTCCTGCATGGAGATGTGCCCGTGCAGAACCCCAGCCTTCCAGTAGCCCCCGCCGGCCCCGGTCCAGTGCCGGGGGACACCTGCCCTCCCGATGGTGGGGTCAGCTACAAGGTCCCTTCCAGCTTCCTGGTTCCCCACCTGGAGCAGCAGAACACCAAGCCCAACATCTACGACGTCCCTGTGGCCGTGCCCAGTGGCCCTCGGGCTGGAAAAGAGCTGGGGGACGCCGACGGGGCTTCAGAGGAGGCCTCGGACCCTCACTGCAAATGGCTCTCCAGACAGGCCACATGGCTTGCCCCTGAGACGGACAGACTGTCCGTGAACAGCTCTGACAGCAGGTCCAGCGTCATGTCCTCCTGCTCCTCCACATCCACCGACTCCTCGTGTAGCTCCTCCTCTGAGGAGTTAGCGAAGGAGCTGTCCTTGGACCTGGCCTTGGCCAAGGGGATGGTGACAGCCCTCCAGCAGAAGGTGGCCAGCTCAGTGGATGGCCTGATGCTCTTCGTGAGCAGGAATTGGAGGCTCAGAGACTCCCTGGAGGCCAACATCAAGGCTATCCGCAGGGCCGCTGGCCTCATCGAGGAGTCCCTGAGGGAATTTCTGGACTTTGCACGTGGAGTCTGCGGGGCCGCCTGTCACCTCCCCGGCAGTAGCCTCCAGGACAGAATGAGGGATCAGCTGCAGACGATCTCTGACTCCTACCACATCCTGCTGGAAGCCAAGGAGAGCCTGGAGGGCTGCCACTGGTCCCTGGACGTCCTTGTGACAGACAGAGCCCAGGGCAGCCTGGATGACCTGGAGAGGTTTGTCTCGGTGGCGCGGATGGTCCCGGAAGACATCAAGAGGTTTACCTCCATCGTCATCGCCAATGGGAGGCTCCTCTTCAAGCAGAACTGTGAGAAGGAAGATACCCCATTCTGGGCCCCCAGGGCAGAATTCAAGCTTGCAGAAGGCACCCAGCTTCCCCAGAGGGAAATGGAGTCCCACCAGCGGAGTGCGCCTTGTCCTCAGCAGAGGGAGGGCAGGCCCTGCCAGGCCAGTGTCTGTGAAAAGGTGAGTCCAAGTTCTGAGTGGTATAGACTGGAGTGCTCTCCATGTGTACCTGGCGTGGGTCTCCATTAAGTCAGGTGCTGAGAGCCTTCCAGTAGCTGGTCAGGCTTTGGGAGCTGGATAGGCTTCGGGAGACAAGATTCCTGAAAGTAAAATTCCAGGTGAAATCTTAGAAAGAAGTCAACTATAAATATTCTTCTCTTTTCTGTGCCCACCATGGCTAGAGAATGGTTTGGTTTCTGAGTAGGGGCGAAAGGGGATTGAGGAAATGAAAGAGACAGACACAAATACAGTAGGGAAAGCTGGGACTGGTTGAGTCCTCTGATGGAGGACAGCAAAAACCAGGAAGTTTTACCAAAGCCCAAGACAAAGGAGATCATGTGCATTCTTGTGGCTTCTTTGTAATGCTCACTTCTGGGTGGGCCCAGATAATCATGTTTGTTCCTGATGCTAGGCTGATAATGAAACCCACCCCCTGGTGCCTGAGCTGAAGGTCAGGCTGACAACACACCTGCCTCTGGCAAGGTATGTTTCCAGGACGTGGCTCTGCCAACACCACTGGATTCAGCTGACAATAATTAAAGAAATGCTCATATGCCTTTCCAGGTGCTCTCTTCAGTCAGCTAAACATTTTAATGTTAAGGCAGATAGGATGTCTTCTAGAAATTTGGGGATTTGGGGTTTACCTCTGACACTAAGATGACAAAGGACTTAAAAAGCCATTCCATGAACAAATTTCTTAATTTCACAATCAAGGTTTATTTGCATTTCTTGAAAGTTATGAATTTAGTCATGGTCAGTGTGTTTCTTATAAATGAAAGAAGGAAGTGTAAACCTCTTCCAGACCAGTGGATGGTCTCAACAGCCTCGAGACTCCAGTCACTCTTAGAAAGACTCTGCTGCATGAGTTCAGATGCTATAGAAAGAGTAGGTCTGGTTCAGGAACTGCAAGTCCCTGCGGCTGTGTGGCCCAGGTAACTTGGTGCTTTGGGGCTCAGTCTTGGTATCTTGGAATTCTGCTAAAATGCCTTGTGGGGTATAAGAGCCACAACACACTCTAGACAAGCTAGAAATTGGGATGTTTTGCATTTTCCAATTAAGTAAATACTTTTTAAAAGGGCCTGTGTGTCATTTGCTAGGCCTTATCTGTAGACAGAATTCAGCGCTTGGGCGGCCAGAGTGTCCTTTGTTGAAAAAGGTTTCAGTTCACAGAACAAAAGCATGAAGAGGAGTGCTGGATTTCAAAGTGGGCTTAAAGAGCTATCCAGCCTTACAAAAACCATTCGAAGGGGTGATTCAGAGGGGTTGTCTTTTTCAGAAGTTGCCTAACCTGAAAGAGAAAGTGAAGCCCATCCTGGAACAAAAGTTGGGTGAAAACAAAGACTTAGAAACACAGATAAGCCCATTGTGCTTATTTTTATTGATGACTTTTTCTTGGTGGCAAATGATAGCAGTTTTCCTTTCACCAGTTTAAAAAGTTTTAAAAGTTCCCTTTAAATTAATATAAGTGGATCCATTTAAAGACAAAGATTAAGCAAGTTGGTGTTAAGAGAAAGCCAGGAAGAGCTTAACTTGTGAAGGTTTTCTTTGAATCACTGAAACCTGGGAAGCAGTGAGCCAGCCCAACCCGCTGGAGGCGGGCGGGCGGGCGGGCGGGGGGGGGGGGGGGGGGTGCGCAGGGGGCACCATGTCCAACCATGTGGACAAGATCATTTGCCTTCTCAGAGGTAAACGAGGACAAGGACCCAGGCCTCCTGATCCACATTCCGGGAGCCTCCAGCACCTCTCTATGGGCCTGAAATCCTTCCTCTTTTCTTCATGTGAAGTAAGCATTAGACCAGGCCTCTCAGATTGGAGAATAAATCACAGGCTCCTGTGTCTCCTCCCCGCCACCCCTACCCCAACACACACAGAGTGTTTGACCCAGGAGGTCTGGGTGGCCCTGAGAACTCTCTTCTAACAAATTCCTAGTGAAGCTGATGCAGCAGATCCAGGGGCCACATGGGAAATGATGGCTTTAGACAGACAGTGCTTCTCGGGGGGGGGGGGGGGGGGGGGTGTTGAGCAAACTCGAGTGAACGACCACTGGAGTCCAGACCAAATTAAAGTTTAGGGAGCCTTTATTAGCCTGCCGGTGACTGCTCTGCCGTTCTCCATGCAGAGAGTCCAGAGAGTAGCCCCAACCCTTTGTGCAGGACCACTTTTAAGCCCATTAACCACATCCTGTTTTTGCAGAACAAGTAACGCAAGACAAAACAGTTTTTCCTAAGCAACGTCAGGGTCATGCCATTGAGGACCATGTTATTTACAGGGTAATCCTGTTCTTCAGAAAGCTGACAGTGTTCTATGAAAGAAGGCCTATGTGCTGGGAAAGGGCCATGAGACCCTATCTCAAGGCCTGGCCTGGTGGCAGCACTGACAACTCTATCTGAGCCCACGGCTCAGTAGTGCTCAAAAATTCCCACTCTCTAACAGGGGGCACCACTGGCCATTGTAAAGGTGGACACTGCACCCCCAGCACTGCCTCTGGCTGCCTGCAGTGCTCCCCAGTCAGTGTGATAGAAACCAAGAATACCCCCCAGTGCCAATGGCCCAGGATGAGAATCATGGCCCATGCTTACTTACCTACAGTTAACACTTTCAGGCTAAGATGCTGACATTCCAACGTGTAGACTGTTGCTCCTCATTCCAGCATCCACTGCATCCTCCTCATGCTCCCTGCCCCCAGAGGTCCGCTCTTTCCTTCCCTTTACCTGTCTGTCTTGGTCCGTGTGTGTGCTGCTGTAACAAAGTCCTGTAGGTGGAGTGGCTGATAAACAACAGACATGTATTCCTCAGCATTCGGAAGTTAGGAGTTTGAGATCAGGGCACCAGCATGCTCAGGTTCTGGGACAGCTCCCTGCCAGTCTGCAGCCTGCCTTTGCCCTGTGCCCTCTGGAATCCTATAAGGTGCCCTGACCCCACCCCTGGGGCCCCACTGCATGGCTTCACTAGTCCTAGCCATATCCCAAAGGCACGCTCTCCTCATGCCTTCTTATTGGAGAGGGGAGCTTCAATATATGAATTTGGGGAGAACACAGACCATACGCCATGAGAGTGCTTCTGGGCCGTGCATTTTGAGGTCACAGGTCGATGAGGGTTTAAGGGTGCAGCTTTACCGGAAGAATGGGTTTCAGACTTCGCGGACTCCAGATCTTGATTTTGCTCATTGAAAACTAGGCAGCCTCTTTCTTCAGGGAACCTCTCTCCCCTCACTTACCACCTAGCAATGGGGTTTTCCGTTGCTCCCTGAGTGGTCGCTGCTGTTAGATGCTGAAATCCCTTCACAGTGGGTAGGCTCTAGGGGGATCCTGGGTCTGCAGTCCAGAAAATAAAATTCATGAAAGTAAAATTATAGATAAACCTTATTAGCAAGCAAGAGAAACATTTTTTTAAGTATTTATTTTTATTAATTTCAGAGAGGAAAGGAGAGGGAGAGAGAAAGAGAAACATCAATGACAGAATCATTGATTGGCTGTCTCCTACGTGCCCCACACCAGGGATCAAGCCTCCAACCCCAGGCATGTGCCCTGACTGGGAATTGAACCGTGACCTCCTGGTTCATAGCTTTTGCTCAACCACTGAGCCACACCACCCGGGCACAAGAGAAATATTTTAACGTTGAGGCAGGTATGACAGCATACTTAGATTTCTTCTGATACATTTTGAGGGCCGGGGTCTATCTCTGATACCGGAGTTAGAAAGGGGTTTTTAAATCCTTTAAAATTTATGCCGGGACCGGTTTGGCTCAATGGATAGAGCGTCGGCTTGGGGACTGAAGGGTCCCGGGTTCGATTCCGGTCAAGGGCATATACCTTGGTTGCGGGCATATCCCCAGTAGGGGGTGTGCAAGAGGCAGCTGATCGATGACTCTCTCTCATCGATGTTTCTAACTCTCTATCTCTCTCCCTTCCTCTCTGTACAAAATCAATAAAATATATTTAAAATAAATAAATAAATAAATAAAATAAAATAAAATTTGTTCTCTGAGGAAACATTTTAATCTCACCATCAAATTTTCTTGCATTTTTCGAAAGTTGTAAATTTGGTCATTACCAATGTGTTTCTTCTGATGGTTTGTTGAGAGAATTGAATAAGATTTTATATATGTGTATAAAATATGTGAGTTATATATAATGCCATTCATAGGAGTGTATATATCATAAAGTTTATATAACGGTGCTTTGAAAACATAAACCTTCATTTGTTAGGCAAATGTTGCACTACCACCTTTTCTCATCAAAAGTCTACCAAACCGGGCTAAAGCGGGGAACGGGGCCAGGCCCAACCTGTCGGTGGAACCCGCCTCTGACCCGTGCTCTCTTCTCTCCCCCAGGACCCTAGCGCCCCCGGACCCCCGCCTCCGGGCCAGCAGGACCTCGGGGAGAAGGCCCGCCTCTCGGAACACTGCCGGCTCTATTTCGGGGCGCTCTTCAAGGCCGTGGGCGTCTTCCAGGGCAGCCTCCTCCACGCCCAGCCCCCCGAGACCCTCGTGGCGCAGAGCAAGCTGGTCATCACGATCGGGCAGAAGCTGGTGGACACGCTGTGCAGGGAGACACAGGACAGGGACGCGCGCAACGAGATCCTGCGCGGCAGCAGCCGGCTGTGCGGCCTGCTCAAGGCCCTGGCGCTGGCCACCAAGCGCGCCGTGCTGCGCCCCGGCCCCGCCGCGCTGCCAGGGCTCCGCGCCGCCGCCCAGGAGCTGGAGCAGCACGCGAGGCAGTTCCGGGGGTCCTTGGACTGAGCCGCCCTCCGTCCCCTCTTTGATGGGGAAAGCCAGCTCGCAGGGTGTGTGTGTGGGTACACCGATGGGCAGAAGAAGGGCCAGGTGCCCGAAGCCTAGGCAACCCCAGGACACTGACTCGTCCCATAGAGTCAGGGGAGAGAGGGGGGCATTGAGTAAGGACCTTGCTAAGTATCCATCACGTCGGGTCCGTGTACAAAGTGACACTGGAGAAACTGATTTTTACATTGGTCCATTGTGTGCCTGTTTTAAACTCATTCCGTGTTTATTTATTGGACAACCACTAGATGTGCAATTCTAGGCGCTGTGCGTGCAGCAGTGAAAGAAACGGAAGCCTCGCCCCCAGGGAGCTTGCAATCCAGTGGGGAGGCAGAGAGCACAGTGACTGAGAAGTACCTACACTGCGTGGCAGGTGCTAGGAGAAAATAAATGAGGGAGAGGGGGGAGAGACCTACTTCCAAATGAGTAAGGGCTGCCTCCGTTAGCTAAGGTCATGGGTATTTCATTTTTGATGGAATTGATTCTGTGAGATTCTGTATCTTACACCAAGTATGTATTTATATTTGCTATTTTGTCTTCACCGAATTAAAGATGCATATGATACTTGCAGCATAGTCTGTTCTGTTGGGTTCCCTGTTAATTTATTTTGTACACTGTAGAGTCTGTGTTTGATAAATTCAGCAAAGATCTGTACCTCAACATTTACATTACCATGTATAGTATTTGGTAGGTATAGTCATGAAACATCCTCTGCACCAAGGCTTTCTTTGGAGGAGTCGTTGATCTGTGTCACCCGGATTCTGGTACCAAAGCAAATCCTCAGTGCTCACTCTTGTTACTCAGATGCTTCTCCCTCAGCGTGCAGTGGGATGGAGCAGAGACCACGTTGTGCTGCACAAGGACAAGCAAAGCCGCCCCTCTGTGGTCCAGGCAGGAAGTGTGTGGGGACAGACAGGATACCCATCTCCAGGCTCAGATCTAAACGTGCTCGGAGCTCCCTTGCATCAAACCACCTCCTCTTCTCCTAGCAACTGGGAGTGAAGATCCATGTTTCTATATGCATCTCAGCCACAAAGCAGCATCTCTGCGCTGGTAGTCACCTGAAGTGGAACCAGGTTCAGTTCCTGCCTGCTGCTCTGCGTTTGGTGGCTGCTTTTAAATTGTTGGCAGCTGGAAGCTGGTTATTTTTGCTGTTAGTGTCGGGGTTCCTGAAGAAGGAGCCCATTGTGTGAGGCTTAGTACATCAGAATGGGAGATCCACCTTCTCTGAGCAGCTGTGACCATATCAGTTAGGATTCCTGCTACAAGTGATCAAAACCCATATCCAATCCCCCTTAAGCAGTAAAGGAAATCTATTGACTGAAGTATCTTAAAATCACCCAGGTGCCAACTGGCTTCTAAACCGGCTGGTTTAGCCCTGGCCATAATGGCTCAGTTGGTTGTTCTGTGCTGGTTCGATTCCTGGTCAGGGCACTTCCCGGGTTGCAGGCTCGATCCCTGGTGTGCGTGCAGGAAGCAGCCAATCTCTCACATCTATGTTTCTCTTTCTCCCTCTCCCTTCCTTTTGTTCTAAAAAAATCAATAAAATAAAATATTTTTAAATCAATAAAAATGGATTTTTTAAACAAAGGCTATCTTGTTTTGGGTGCTGAACAGTATCCACAGGGCCCACTTGGTTAGTTCTATTTTCTCTGAGTTAACACTCATGATTGCAAGGTGGTGGCCCATGTTCTTGGTTTGTGGCATGTAATGCCCAACTGGTCCTGGACCTGGAATTCACCCCTACACATACACACACACACACACACACACATAGATATACATACACACACAAACAAACAGACACACTACACACACACACACACACACACACACACACACACTTGTGTCCTGACAGAAAGGCAAAGAGGTGTCTCTGCCAAGAACTGTGAAACATCTGAGATTCCCCCCTTCTCCTTTAGATGAACATCTGAGATTCCCCTGTTTCATGGATGCAGACAGAAGACATGAGATTCTGGGATCAGAGACTATGCCAGGGGTGCCCACGACCACTCCCAGGTTCAAAGATTTGTGAGGAGGATTTGCAGGACTCAGCATATAGTCGGACTCACAGCTGCGGTCGATCATAGTGAAAGGTGTGGGAAGGGAAAAGGTGGTGGGTGAGTGCAGAGGAAACCAGGCTGAAGCTGCCAAGAGTACTCTCCCAACAGACAGCTTGTCTTTCCCAAGATAATGAGTTGTGACAACACAGGTGAAGTGCCACCAACCGGGAAGCTATGAGAAGCCGGCACCAGGGTTTGTATGGGGGCTGATCATGTCAGCAGCCTCTGTGTGGCATGTACCAAAATTCCAGACCCTCAGAAGGAAAGCAGGTGTTTGACACAAGTCACATTGTTTGTGCAATGAGTTTAGACACACTGAGTCATTCTTGTCAACCCTGGGGATGGTGGAAACCCTCCCCAGGTCCAAGTTCCTATCCAACAATCAAAGGCCAACCTTGTCCGGATGTCCTAATATCCTGCAATCCTTCTGAGGGTGGGGGTCAGGCCTACCAGGCATAGGGACAAAGGACTTTTCTCACGGCGTCACAAGAGCTTATATTTCATATTTACATCCCCTCTATACCCCAAAGCCCCTTGGGTGCATGTGATCTGTGCACACAAAGAACCCCCGAGCATAGGAAACCCCAGTCCTCTACAACAGGATCTGCACAAACCTGGCCAAGCCTGGCCTCAGAGGAGGTGGATTATTTGGGGCAGAAAACAAACCTTCCCTTTTGCTCCAGAGGAGACATGATCTGTCTTCCAAGGGTCTTTGCTACAAATCCAGACCAAGTGCCATCAGTGCCTCTGCTCAGAAGACATGCAGAAACTCAGGAGATCCTGGAAGACTGTCCCAACAGGAGCTTCTAGCAGAGTCAGGAAAGCTGTCAGAAGGAGGGGTGCAGGGAGCACCAGGAATGGCTTAGTCCCATGGGCAAAATGATCTTTTCCACACAGTATTATCAACAGCACAAACATAAAGTGATTGCTATGTTCCAGACACTACTTTAATAATGCTTTAGATGTTTTAATTCATTCAGTCCTTCAGAAGTGATCTAGTCCCTAATGGGTAGTGAACTGGTCCCTATTGGTTTCAAGACACTATATATGTTTGCATGTACACAAATAGTTATAAACATATATGGAGATATATCTATATTACATAGGTGTTTTTTTTTTAGATGAGTTCAAACCAAGGGCCTTTGTTGACAAAGTACAAAGCCATTGGGTTTTAAATCATCAAAAATCATCAAAACTGAAAAATCAACTACAATAAAAACAATGAAAAAAATCAAAAACTTGGAGGCTAAATAGCATGCTATCAAACAATGATTGGGTTACCAAAGAGATCAAAGAAAAAATAAAAAGCATCCTGAAAACAAATGACAATGAAAACACAACAATCCAAAATCTATAGGACACAGTGAAGAAATCCTGAGAAGGAAGTTCATAGCTCTGCAGGCCTACCTCTGCAGGTACTTCAAAAAACAAGAAACAATGGTAATTAATTATCTAACTTAAAGAATTAGAGAATACAAGAAAAGCCCAGAGTAAGCAGAAGAAAGAAAATAATGAAGATCAGAGTAGAAATAAATGACATTGAGACAAAAAACAAAACAAACAAAAAAAAATACAAAAGATCAATGAAACTAAGAGCTGGTTCTTTGAAAGGATAAACAAGAATGATGAACCTCTAGCCAGGCTCACCAAGAAGCAAAGAGAGAAAACCCAAATAAACAAAATCAGAAATGAAAGAGGTGAAATAACAACCAACCCTACAGACATACAAAGCATTATAAAAAAAAAAAAAAAAATACTATGGCCAATGACTACTGATGAAATTGAAATAATAATCAAAAAACTTCCAGAAAACAAAAGTCCTGGACTGGACAGCTTCACACAGGAGTATTACCAAACATTCAAGAAGAACTAAAACCTATCATTCTCAGACTATTCCAAAAAATTCAAGAGGAAGATACACTTCCAAGCTCTTTCTATGAAGCCAGCATTACCCAAATCCCAAAACCAGATAAAGGTACTACCAAGAAAGAGAATTACAGGCCAATATCGCTGATGAACATAGATGCTAAAATCCTCATCAAAATTCTAGCAAATCGGATCCAGCATTACATTAGAAAGATCATATACCATTGACCAAGTGATATTTATTCCGGAGATGCAAGGCTGATACAATATCCACAAATCAATAAATGTTATATATCACATAAACAAATTGAGAGACAAAAATCACATAATCATATCAATTGATACAGAAAAAGCATTTGACAAAATCCAACACCCTTTCCTGATTAAAAAAAAAAAAAAAAAAAAACTTTCAGCTAAGTGGGAATAGAGAAATCATACCTCAACATAATAAGAGCCTTATATGACAAACCTACAGCCAACATCATACTCAGTGGGCAAAAACTAAAAACATTTCCCCTAAAACCAGGAACAAGACAGTGATGCCCACTTTCACCACTCCAGTATGAAATAGTACTGGAAGTGCTAGCCATAGTGATCAGACAAGAAGAAGAAATAAAAGGTACCCAAATTGGAAAAGAAGACGTAAAACTGATATTATTTGCATATGACATGATATTGTATATAGGAAACCCTAAAGACTCCATTAAAAACTAATAGACTTAATAAATGAATTCAGCAATGTAGCAGGATACAAAATTAACATCCAGAAATCTATGGTTTTCTTATACACCAACTAGAGACCTGGTTCATGCACCAGTGGGGTCCTTCGGCCTGGCCTGGGGGATCAGGCCAAAACTGGCTGACATCCCCTGAGAGGTCCCGGATTGCAAGAGGGTGCAGGCCAGGTCAAGGGACCCCACCAGTGCATGATCAGGGCTAGGCAGGGATGCAGGAGGTTGGTCAGCTAGGGAGGGACCAAGGGAGGGCTCCAGGGCATGCCTGACCCATCTCACTCAGTCCTAATTGGCCAGA